CACACACACACACACACACACACACACACACACATACACACATACACACACATCAACATCCACACGCCAACAAAAAATGGCGGACAAAGACATAACCTCTTGGTTGAAGCAGGTGCGAAAATTGTCGTCACTGACCAAATTTATCGCGGACGCTTTCTTTTTGCTAGCAAAAATTGTGAAAACAACAAAAACACAGATTTCGCTACGCTGTTTCTCGTACTACAGCGGAGAAAAAATAAAAAAGTAGCAGATGTAAACGCTAATAAACGTTAATCAAAGCCATAATTACTTGTCACAATCGCGAAATTAGCAGTCAAGAATTCTTCGCCGAAACATGGCCGAAAATGACGTTTCTTGCAAATTGTATGTTTTTGATGGAAAAAATCTCGAGCAGGAACTTAATATTGATGGAATATTACTTAAAATTCGCCGTACATGCGTGTGTTGTCTAGGACAAAGTATAAATATTTGGGTTTTGAATGATACTGTCCGCCAACGATCATCGTCAAATTACAGTATGTGAGATATTTCGCTAAAATTGCTTGTTTTTCCCCTCATTTCTCATATATACAGGTTGTGCCAATGAAATCTGATTAGGTCAGTAGAAATGATTTTCTTTCCAGTTTTTGTTAATACAATGTAAACTCGCCTAAAAATAAACATGATACAGTACTGAATTTTAGCAAGTTTTATGTGCATGTGTGATTTATCTGAAAAAGATAAAATTGGTTGGTAAAGGTAGTTGTTGTCTTTTTAATTTAAAACTATAAAACTTTACGCACTTCGTCGGCTATCAGCTGATATACGACTCAATTCGCAGAATAACAGTTAAACATTCGATAACTGCAATATAATTGTTTCCTTTTCTTATGAAGCATTTCAAACTTGGCGACTACAGTTTCCAGATTAAAGCTTTCGAAGCAGAAAACAACACGTTGCAGTCTGAATATCGTTTCAAGAAGCCAATTACAATAACCTTGGTTTATGATGTCGAGCAAATGTTGAAAATAAACAAGAAAGTTGTTAGTAATGAAGTGACAAATGAAGATGTTGATCCTGTGCTTTTGCTTTGGGATGTGAAGAATCAAACATGGTATTTCAGAATTTAAAACTTCATATTTTGAAAGATGCTACGATTCTTGAAAATTTTGAAATTTGCTTGATCACGGTGGGAATGAAACATGCGACATTTGGTTTGCTGGTCGAATACTCTACCAACTGATCCATGAGCTACGAGATCAAGTCAGCTTGAACAGATGATGGCTCCAAACAGAATTCGCACCGTGGTCAAGCAATTTTCAACTTGGCGGGCACGGATCCTCCCAGCAAGTAGCATCATTTAAAAAGACTTACGACCAGAGTTCCGTCACCACAATCATTATTTAGATTTAATTTCTTTATATGGGTAATAATTTGACGTCAAATTATTTTGGTCTTTCATTCAGGTAATAGTAGGTCGTTTGGCATGTCGGTCACATACTGTAACTAATCCTATAATTAGCATGTTGCTTTAATTTGTTAACAAGGTGATGTTGAAAACACTTGCTGAGTATTCTTTGTCTTTTCCTACGGCAGGATAAAGCCTGGTTAAAACGAATTTAGTTTTACTAAGGGATCAAATTTACGTCGCCACGCCTTTTATAATTATTTTGGCCAATGAGATTTCATTTGAAAACCTTAAATTCTAAATGAAACATTTAGGTTAAGTCTCCTGCAAGAACAAACTGTCCATTTTCCAATTTGAAACATAACGTCAAATAAACAGCCCATCCCTAGTCTGTTTGGACGATATCCTACAGTAACCTCAGTGGCTGGACATGATAGAGACAATTTGCCCTGGCTATTAAAAGCTTTAGGATTGTGTAACATTAAAACTACCAGAGAAAAACGAAGAATATTGAATATTATGTACAAAAATGACAAGACTAAATCGAAATGATGGTGTGATTTGGTCTTTAGAAACAAGTGACAAAATCCAATTGGGAAAGGGAAATTTCCCGATTGGATTTTGTCGCTTGCTTCTGAAGACTAAATCACACTATCAGTTCAATTTAGTCATGTCATTTTGGTACATAACATTCTTTGTTTATATGCTGATAATTTAACGTTTCTCTAATTTCTTTATCAACAGGTTTCAAGCAGCGAAAACTTGTCCAGAACCGTGGACATATGTTGATAAGAAAGCAAAAGTTTTCAAAGTAAAAGTGTGTCATTTGACTCAGTTTGCCTTATTTTGGACTTTCAAAGCTGAAAATGGAATATTTGAGTTTGACAAAGGAGTTAATGGTATGAACGTAATAATCTCATTTTGTCACGATCGTCGGCATTAGAATGCCCTGAAGTTTTACGTATCATTTCCTCTAAAGTTTTTCCATAGTTTTTTCTGTGCTTACTTATATGATAGTAACCTATGGTTCTGCCCGCATTTCAATAAAGCATAGATAAACATAGGCGTACAGGGCGTGGTAAGGGGGGCAGGGTGGAGGCCAGTCCCCCCGTTAAAAATGAATTCGGGAAAAATATAAACGTTATTCGGGCAAAGAACCCCAGGAAAATGTTTTCAGTAAGTCGGGCACAACGGGGGAAAGTCGGACAAATTTCTTTCTGCCCACCTGATTTTTCCCCGCCCGTACGCCTATATGTAAATAAACGTAACTCCTAATATTTATGTTCCAAATTGTTTCACGTAATCAAAAATATATCACGGCCAACCAATAATTCGAAAGGTCTCTGCTGTATTCCCTGTATCTTTTAATGCACATATAGGCCGCATGTAAATTCCAAAAATCCTCTACTTTGGGCCTTAAATACGCTAATTTCTAATGTTGTAACCTAAGATTTTGCATTTTATTTGCTCTTTTTAGATACACTGCCCAGACCTCCTCCAAATGCTCTTATTGAAGAAGATAACAATGTGCTCTATAACCGTGAGCGATACGGAGGTGAAATGGTATTAAATATAGCCAGATATAAAGGTTCTACTGATCCAATAATACTCACGTGGGCAGTCACTATCGAGCCAAACGCTCCTCCGTCATTCACCGTCTCCCCTATGTTTGGAGAACTGGAATTTAGCGAGGGACAGTGGAATTCTTCAATCCACCTGTGGTTTCCCGTCGTGCCTGAAACCAACCAGGAAATTAGGATTTTTGTTAAATTGCTGAATGTATCTGGTGGTGCAATGCTGGGGAAGTTTACCAGAGTAAAAATTACCTTTACACCCACTGTTGGTCAGAGTGAAGTTAAAACCCCCCTAGAAAATAATAGCAGCAACAAGACTGATCTTCTTTTGAAGATTCTTTTGCCATGCCTAAGTAGTATATCGTTAATCATTGGCATAATGGCTACAATCTACTTGTGCAGAGGTTGGAAAAGGTAAGGAGAATGGGGAATGTCCATTGGCAGCCATACTGACTTTAACTGATGACGTATGTTTTGACCATGCATGCTCTGCTTGTCGTAATTTTAGACGTTTTTGCTGTTACAATGTACATGTGGTTCTCGTTATATGATGAAGTAAAAATTTCAATAATAATTTCAAATAGCTTGCCTGCTATAAAAATACATGTATAAATCTGTAAAATATGATGTATAAATCTGTAAAATATGATGTATGTATAATATAATTTCAAATAGCTTGCCTGCTATAAAAATACATGTATAAATCTGTAAAATATGATGTATAAATCTGTAAAATATGATGTATGTATAATATAATTTCAAATAGCTTGCCTGCTATAAAAATACATGTATAAATCTGTAAAATATGATGTATAAATCTGTAAAATATGATGTATGTATAATATAATTTCAAATAGCTTGCCTGCTATAAAAATACATGAATAAATCTGTAAAATATATATAAAAACAATAAAGCAATGCTATCACAGCATGCGAAAATTACCATCAATTAACTTGAAAAATAACTATTTTTCCTATAGAAAACAACAGGACGGAAGAGATTCGGTGGATATGGCTAAATTTTCCTTTCGCTCTTCGTAAGTATATTTTTACTGCCGAAAATATAATATGTTGAGAAGATGTGAAGTTTATTATACGTTTTCCAAGATGTCGATCTTTACACAAGTTTGCTACCTGCTATTTTTTGTGAGGTTTTAGTAAGTTCATTTTACGAAATTGTGCTTTTTATTAGATTTTAAAGTTTATGTAATATTTTTTTAATACATTTATTACTTACATTGTTAAAGTTCTTATAAGCTTTCTATCTGTGTATTATTAACGAAAAAGTCGTTGTTTGTATAGCGGTATTCAAACTCGCATCTCCGTGTTCCTTAACCGCCGCCCTACCTACAGTTGACCGCCATTATATCGATTTAGCAATCGAGTCAATGGGATTGGTAATGAGTCTTATCCAATTTAAGTATACAAAATATATTTGTGAGGACACTTGCCTTGGAGAACGTGCTATTTTAGAACCTTCTCACAGGTAGGAAAACTAGACTAAGTTTCATGTTGATTCTATGTACCCTGCATTGTCGGAATAGATATGAAACTAATTTTTCATCGATAAATAAAAAAAACAAATCCGGTCCAAGCGCATATTTTGGCCTTCAAATTAAAACAATTCACAACACCAAGTTGATTGTCCATAATAAGGTTGACAACATACGTGTATGAATATAGCAACACTCTAATTTGATTTGATTTGATAAATCTGCCACTAAGGTGAATTTCAGCAGAACGAAACAGAGGGAAGCTAATTTACAATTCGTCTAATTTGACAGCAAAAAAATTAATTAAGATGATGTTTTCTACTATAAAGATTCGTTACATTTCTTCTCAGAAAGTCAAGAATATTGAACAATACCAAGACCCGTATAATTTGGGGGATAGTGGCACTGAAAATATTAAAAGAAAATTAGATATTAATTGTATTTTAATTAGAAATCTTATCTACACAATTTCAACCGCAAATTATTATTAGTTATTGGGAAAGGAAAAAAAATTTAACAAGGTTTCCAAGACTAATTATTGGCACTTCTTTATTACTTTAGCAGATATCACGCTGTAAATCAGGCAGAAACATCATTTATAGACAAAGACCCACCTTAATGATCACCGAATCTCTGCCTGGTGTTATCTACGTTTGGATTTTTAATCAGTTTATTTTAAGCTGCGCATGCATATATAGTATTGTTCAGCCTCTATATACTACAAAGACGTTTTAAATGAAATGTAGACTAGTTATAAGTTACGTATTATATAGATCTAGGGGTGTATAAATCGTTTTGTTATCTTTCAAGGTGCTGCATACAGTTAATTTTATTAAAAAATGGAAAATTTACGACTTAGATCAATACTTTTGGTCAATATTTTGGGTCAATTATCACTTGTTGACGAAAAACAAGAAGTATTTTATTTACGTAAAAGGACATCTAAAAGTTTGAATTTTTCACAAAAGTTACACAACTGCATGCTGCTAGCTCTTACGGCAACAATGACGTTACACAACTGTCACAATAATTACATTTCAATATTGGCGGATACATCGATGAACCTCGACTGTTATTTCATAAATAAATTTTCTTCTGTCCCCTCCCAATTTTAAAATATGGTTAATTGATTATTGATAATAAAATTTGATGGGTTGGGGTTGAACGGAATCTTCAAATTGTCAAAATAATTCAATACGCTAGGGGAAAGCATTTTAAAGGACATTGGCAACCAAAATTATTATTACTTATATTTATTAGGTATACTTACGGAATATTTAATTTCATATTTTGGCCCGTTTGTCGCGTTTAGTTCTTGAGAAAATTTAATGAAAAGTTCAACAGTTGTCCGCCATTTTGAAAATAAACGTGTATGCTAATTTATGCATTATCTGACGTTATTAGATAGCTAAACACAATTTCATGACTATACAATACCGAGTATTACCACGCGTAGTGCACTTTGAGCCAAAACAAAAGGCAGAAAAGTTTTACCAAGTATGTAACCTGTTTGTAACACTATTTCCCATAGTATATATATATATATATATATATATATATATATATATATATATATATATATATATATATATATATATATATATATATATATATATATATATATATATATATTTATAATATAAGTGTGATATAACAGACGATTTGATTGGCCAATGCGCGTGCATTGTGACGCAATAATGCACTGTGATCTGTGGCACTGCTTTGCTCTTTCTCTGTTTTTCTCCCTCTTCATCACTGCTTTTTAGGCAAAATTATACACAAAATTATAGAGCTTTTAAAATACAAAATTTACCAGAAAGCAAGAAGGAATAAAACAAAGGAACAATGCAATTTTCTATAGTTCTACTTATAAAATTAACCGGCTTGGCATTCGTCGAATTTGTTGTTGTCTCGACAAGTTTTGGGTAAAAAGCGTACAAAATAGTCGAGAAAAAAACTTGAAAAAGATACAGCTGGAAGACCAAATACATACAAAAAGGCAACAAAAACTGAATATAAGTGATTTAGAAAGTACCTTCAATTCTTCTGATAATAACTGCTAGATATATTTTCGGCGAAAGACAAAAAATACAATATTTTCGAATATGAAAACTGAGTAATAAACACGACGAAACTTACGATTTACCGTCTTTCATGGCAAATCCAGCAGCCCAGGTGCTGAAAAACTTTGGCAAATTAGTCAGTGTGTCACTGCTTTTTTATTTCCACTATTTTAAACAACTTTTCCGGCTTTATAGCATCAAAAGTTGTTTTGGCAATTTTTCTCCTTCGCTCGCTTAAAAATTCAAGCGACAGTAAAAACATGGGCGTGACGTCACTGAGTACATGTTAGGAGAATTTCAACGTCGATCTTTTGAGTAAAATTGTTTACTATGTAATATCTTCTACTTATATTATAAAAGAAATAGAAAAATTCGTCTCGTGCGTTTATGGTGTGATAATGCACTTGGGAAATGTTGGGAGAATACTCGAGAAGTGTGTAAAACACTCGGCTACGCCTCCTATTTTACACGCTTCTCTCGTATTCTCCCAACATTCCCCGCGTGCATTATCACACCATAAACGCACGCGACTCGTTTTCTATTTCTTAAATATATATATATATATATCCTACTCCGTGTTAAATAAACACAGAAATTCGAGTGTGACAAGGCAAATACTAATGCAATATTTTATTATCGCTCTATATGTTTTTATCTGATAGTGTAGACTTCCCGTGTTTGATTGAGAAGAGTGTTGGCCAGTATAACGCTCAACAACGACATATTTTTAGCTAACACGCACGCAATAGAGTTCTCTCTTGTAGTTTTGGTGCTACCCATCTAATGACGTCACAAAGTTCATTGACCTTCGAGATAATTTTTCAAAAATATTCTCCAAGATGGCGCGATACACAAAGTTTGTATGTTCGAGAAGGAAATGATAATATTTTCATAGTTAGGTCGTCCAGTAGGATTGAAATGGCCAATAAAAAATTTTCGTTGCCATTGTCCTTTAAGAAAAGATTTTTGTAGGTCACCGATGTAGTTTTGGATCTGCCGTGTTGAAACGTCGGTGTTGCAATAGCAAGGTAGGTGTGTAACGTTAGTACGAAAATTTTAGATACTGTTTCACGTACGTAAAACACTCTTTGTTTCTTAACAACTAAAAATCTAAATCTTGAAATTACCATTACTCAAAAAGACTCCGCTGGGCCACCTTAAGATATGCAATATTATGTCTAATTATGTAGTTATTCAGTGATAATGGCAACAACAATTTTGCTTATTTTCTTGAAAGAACGTTGAGGAAATCTATACAATATATTTTACAAATTAGTGAATTTACCTCTGCTATGACGTACGTGATGAATACGCGACGTTTGGTGGATATCCTGATGAAAAATGTATAATGATTTTGTTTAATTACGTTTAATACCAATAACTGTAAAGAAAATGTGCTATTTGTTTTTATTCAGAAAGTAACTTGAAAGTAACTTATTTGTGCATAGCCAGTGATATTTTTTTGCTTTATTTTTTTTACGATATCTTGACCGTGTTCCAACGAGTTATTTTTTAGACACAAGCCGAGAGCAAAAACTAAACCTTTTTTGAAGACAAAGCAAACACTCGAAAATTCATCCTTACCGTTTAATTCGGACCGTATAGAAAAACATTCTCTCGAGAAATATAAGGACAATTTTAAATCATAAAATATAATAAGAACAATAAAAAAATATAAGGACAATCTGAAAAATATAAGGATAATTTTAACGTTTCGGGCGAAGGCCCTTCGTCCAATAACTCCAAACACCAGCCCTAACCAAAGCCCTAACCCTAACATAAGACCTACCAGTCCTAACCCTAACACCTGTCCTAAGGTGGAAAAGGAAGATGCCAATGAAGGTAAACATAATAAAACTAACTCAAGCACCTACTTTAATACTACCACTAAGCCTATCCCAATTTTGTTCTGAATAATTATGTTAGAAATTTGGATTAACAAAAGCCCTTCGCCTGGGTAGGGATTCAATCTCATAATTCAAACTAAGGTTCTTGTGATTCACTACGTTCGTCGTAGATCAGTTGTGTACTTGATTTACCATGTACAGCTCAAGTTGTAAGCCGGTTGCATGCGACAGTTTTAGGCAAAAGTTGTGCAGTGTAAATCGACTTTAAACCTGCACTCTCGCCAAATTTAAGGCAATCATTGCACCAGCTAATGCCCGCGTTATTTGTTGTGGTTCGCTTGTAATTTTTTAACGACTGTTAAGGACACACTCTCGTCTTCAATTGGATCAATGCGTTGCAGATCGTGGTTCTCAGTATTTCGATCTGTTGACCTTCAAGTTTACTACCGTCGCGGCCTGAACAAAATCATACCAAACCATTTGCTTACTATATAAAGTTTGTTCGTTAACTGCAACCAGGTATATCAATCATGTTTCGCTCGCCACTCTGGTTTAAATAAATGATTACAAAGCCCAGTCGAATTGTAATCAAGACTCAACGTTTCGACACGCTAGTCTAGTGTCTTCATCAGATCAGGGGTGATCTAAAACTGCGATCGTGGCTTCTTAAATACCCAAGAGATGACGTCACCTGCCAAGAAGATGCATATATTTCTCTGGCAAATATAGTATTTATTGCAGTTTATTGCAAAATGTTAGGGTATTTGACCAATATTGATTGCCCAACAGTGGGGCATTTGATTGAAAATTTGCTAAAAAAATCAAATGCCCCACATATGTCCGACCCCCCTTTGTGGGGCTTAACATTGATAGGTGCATAAGAACAACCATTTCTCAAACTTTATCTGAATTAGTTGTGTAATGTTCAGCATTTATACAAAATACTGTTAAGGCCAAGTGGGCGTTCACTGCTATAAAGGGCATTCTATCCAATGGCATTCTAGGACTAACATCTCCATGGCATTGTTCTCCAAAGCATCGAGCAGCGGTATAAATCAGGTTGTCTATTTGACCAGCATGAAGTACAGACATAGCCTTGGCAACAAGTGGGAGAAAATTTTGAGGGACAAATTTAGCATCTAAACCAGGGTTAACTTTTACCAGCCATTTTTGAAACAGGTGGATGAGTAGTTATTCTTGTTGTCGCTGGGTTACCAGAGAGGTGAACAAGTTTAGAACTCCAAATTTAATGATGATGCTTAATTCTTGCAGACAAAATCATTGACAAAAATAGAATCCACTAGCCAGAATCACGAATCTCAAATCTAAAACATCAGCCAAACAATAAATTTCAGCAATAAAATATTGTTACAGAAGTGCTTTAATTACTTATATACTTTAAACAATACATATAAATCCATAATATATCGAAACTTCTGTAGTATATCAAATTTCTTTAGAAAAAAGCTAGTAATAGCAGTTCATTATTGATCTGAGTGACAAGGCAGTATATTTTACAAAGGGCTTTATAATATAGCATTTGTAAATTCTGAACGCTGATTGGCTAAGAGCCGTGTTGATATAACTCAATGTCAACACGGGAAATTTTCCGCCGCTTGTAAACACGGAAATTTTTCTTATCCTTCGGGCTTTTGACATTGCTATATTATAAAAAAAATATAAAACATTTTTTCCGTATTGATATATAGTCATATCAACACTTGTGGAAGTTGGGAAAACTCGAGATTGTATGAAAACACTCCGCCCTTCGGGCGTCGTATTTCCATACAATTTCTCGTTTTCCCAATTCCACTCGTGTTGATATAACTGTATATCAACACGGAAAATGTTTTATATTTGTTAAATATTCAACGGTGAATATCTCGTAAACGGTTGAGTGGCCGAGGGGGCTGGCTGGATAGAACTAAAGATTATACTTTTATTTAACTAATCGTGAAAAAAATAGCGAAATCGAACCATGGAGATTTGAGATTTTTGTCTTCAAAGATTGTTGACAGAAACGCCATTAAATTACATCGCGACGGCATACCGCCTAAGTTAGAGGTCAAAATAAACTGGAAAATGACGCTTACCTTTTAAGATACCATTCCAGTGGGTAGATTGACTGTGTTAAAAGTAGTATCGCGTGAAATTTCACAAAAAATGTGCATAACAATATGAAAAAAATAGATATTTATGAGCCCTATGTAAATTTTCGATGCCAAAAGCTTCGTGCGAGCATGAGGAAAATGGCGCTATCTGATTGATCGACGGGCGGATAACGCTATTCACCGGATAGTGACTTTTTAAACCGTTGTAAAATTGCTTATTAATAAAAAGAAACTTTAGTTTATAAATACTAAGGTTTAATCTGGTTTTTAATCAACGCACAATCTTTAAATTATTGAGAAATGCACTATTCTTTCCATAGCGCTATCCGGCCTTCGTACAACATGCAGAGCGCAGTCAAACACGGACGCGGAATAAACGCGCTCATAGCTTGATCAGGGAGGAGACTAACTTAGTTCTTGTAAGTTGAAAAAAAGAAAGAATGGAGTTATAGGTGGACAAAATTAAAATATTTTAAGACGAAAGCGTTCTTACGGAGTAGTTAAAAAATTGCTGTCTTTAAATAAAATATATATAACTTAATAATCCTAAATCAATTGACCATTTGCGTAATAGACTAAATTTTGAACTAAACAAGTCTAGACAAAAATTTCATCACAGCTTGAAGGAGCATCACAAAATTAGTAATATTCCAAACTTTCGTTGCAAAATGCTGTAAAATGCGGAAAATATAGCTTTGCGAAATTTGCAATTTTCAGTCATTTTAGATTACAAACAGGAAATTGACAGCCCCAAACCCTTCGAGGCTGTCAATTTCCGGTTTGTAATCTAAAATGACTGAAAATTGCAAATTTCGCAAGGCTATATTTTCCGCATTTTACAACATTTTGTAACGAAACTTTGGAATATTACTAATTTTGTGATGCTCTTTCAAGCTGTAATGAAATTTTTGTTGAGATCAAAATTTAGTCTATTACGCAAATGGTCAATTGACAATTAAGATCAAGTACTAATTTCATGAAATTTTCACTGAATGAACAAAAATATATTCACAGTATAAATATACGTCGAATACCTATCCTTAGACGTTAGTTTCAATGCGCAGGATAAAAAGGACTTCTTCATGTGAAGACCTGGACCCTTTAGCACGAAGTAGTCTCAACCAAATCCTCAGTCTCAACCAAATCCATAGTCTCAACCAAATCCTCAATAGGTATATCCACAACCCAAATAAAACATGCCAAGTTAGCCATTCTAACATTGATTTTGGTCCTCAAAGTTAAAATCTCCAATTTTAATGTATTGGCGTGACCTATCGCAAATGTTAGCGTATCTCCGGCGTAGTTTACATGGAATGCACCCTGGCGAGTTGGTCTATTAAACAAATTTGCCAGCCCAAGCATAAAACATCAATTACATTTACACGCCGCTTATTAAACCTACCTAGTCACTCAAAAACTTAAGCAATTGTTTTAGTACTGTAGTTAGTGACTATTTTATACAGAAAAATCATAATCACTTCGTAATCTGCAGAGTAGAATGTTGTGTCCTGACATTCGGTCGGCTCTGATATTTCGACGGTCAAAACCAGTGGGTGAAAATATCAAATTATTTACCTGCGATTTAGTTTCTTTCAACATTCAAATGTTCTTCATTCTTCTATGATGTGTGCAGGGGCGTAGGAAGCTTCTAAAAGTTGGGGGCAGGCTTTGAGGGGCACTTTTCGAATAAAAAAGGCATCTAAAAATTTTTCCCCGAAGTGTTGGCGACGGGGTGGAGGGGCAGGTCATCTCAAAAAAATTGTCCGGACATACCAAAATTTTCCGGATATACCACATTTTCTCCTAAATATGAAACAAATTTTCCGGATATACAAAAAATTTTCCGGATATATGATATTTTTCCCGGAAATGAAAAAAAATTTCCCAAAATAACATAGATTCAAGTTTTCAAAAGTGCCCTTTGGGCAAAAAATGCAATCTTAATGACATTTTTCACGCAAAAAAAGGGCACTTTGCTCCCGGAAAAAGGGCACTTGGCAAAACTTCCTACGCCCCCGCATGTGTGCTTTTTCTTGAAATACCAGATTTGACTTGATTTCTTCGCATACTTAGCTAGTATAAGGCGAAAATTCCGAAAAATGTCAGTTTTACAATAGAATCTATAGTCTTTCACTCCTCAAGTGGGGCCATTCAACATGGCGGCCGGTCTCAAAACATGACGTACTTTCGGCTTCACTTTTTGTTTGGGCCTTCTATTACAATGCTCTATCCAGTCTTAGTGTATATCAGTGATAAATCAGCGATCCGACAATGGCCTTGTCTAAGAGTCACAATCTAGGATCCGAAAACCTATTCACCCCTCTCCCTTAATAATCCTTAGTATATTGCTTCCATCATGAGTCAAGAGCAAACATGAACCAGTGTCAATGTCATCGTTGAATTCAAACAGAAATCACAGAAAATATCAAAGGGATTCATGTTGTCATCAAATACCATGTATAATCCTGAAACACGCCTACCATTGATGTACTGCAACCACGACAGGATTTAACCATATCTCGATGTCCCATAACCCATAGGACAGTTGCAATTAAAGCGAGGCTGCGAAACGTTTGTTTCTTTTAAAGGTCAGTGTGAAAAGTTATAACGCTCCTACTCAACATTTGAAAGTTTTTTACACATCTATCATTGGATCAACACTTGAATACTGTGCCCATTTATGGCATGGCAACTTAACAGTCACATGATCTTGAAAGAATCCAGAAACGAACTATATCCGCATAATCTACTTTGAAATAACTTATCGAGAATCTTTGTTAAAGTGTAATCTGATACCTTGGAATCTCATAAGGAAGATATGTGTATCAACCTAATTCAGTCTACGCTTGATTATAAACTAAATAATTTATTACCCAATAGAATGGATAGAACCACCACATCGAACGTAGACAGATTTTACAATTTTAAATGTAGAATTAAAATTTTGAGGCAAAGAATGTAATGAAAACAAAGACGTTAACAGTACAAAAATGAACAAAAGATATTCCAGTAGTACAAAAGTGTACGGGTGGGAGAACAATAATGCAAGTTGTAACCGTTCCATTGCACTCTGAATGAAATGGGAATTTTATTGAATAGCTCGTAATAATAACCATCCAATTTAATGACTACAATTTAACACGATGTTCTAAAAAAAAAGGTAATGTTCCTGTTCGATCGAACATAGCAAGAACATTTCCTTCGGTGCACCATTCAACTAATGCGCCTTACCATGAAAATATTCTTAATATTTTACTCACAAACAATCAAAGATACTGGATATATAGATAAAATAGTCTAGGCTAAGTAATTATAGGCAAGCGTAATCCCCGAGCGAACGGCGCGGAGCGCCGTTCCGGGCGTAAGCCCGGGGCGAGGGTACTAATTCCACCGGGCTATTTACACCTGGTAAAAGGAACACACTAGCGTAGTCTAAAGCCGTCATCAAATATCGCGGGCGTAGTTCATGGTTGTATGGGTGGTCATCTCACTGATCTCAAAATATGGCTGTTTGCCAGCAGTGAAGAAGGGGAAAATATAAAAAATACATGTAAGAAAGCTTGGAAAATTGTTTCACATAACAAATTGTAAAACTTTTTTCAAGTTTTAAACGTAAACATTTATAAAATTGATTTAGTATGAGAAATCCTAAAGTATAGCCTATAGGACAAGTTTGTTTCAATTGTTTATGTATGACTTTTCCTTGTATTTGATTATAGATTTTGTTCTTGATGTTCAAGTCTTTCCTATGCATTGTATGCGAAAGTTTCTTAGTTAAATTAACTTTTGTAGAAGTTCATGATAAAGGGGAAAGCAAATTATTTTTATTAGCGTCCTGTACGAATTAAATTTATTTCATTTCAAAGTGGAAGTGAATATTTAATAAAGTTGAAGAGATTAATATCGGCAAAAAGCCGTTAATTTCAATTCACATTTAAAAACGTTTTTAATACGTAGAATTACTTTTCGAAATTTACATTAAAATAAAGCCCATACAAACCAAAATAATATACCTATACATTACATATTTTAGAAATCGATAGTTCTGTGTTTAAAAGTGTTCAAGTTTCATCTATTATTGCAGGCTTGAACAAAAAAATTAAAAAAACAATTATCGTGTTGCCATGCCTAACATGACGTGGGCAACGCGAGCCTGCGTTCAGTGTTGGCGTAATTGCGAATACTTCATGTTGAAACAGTGTTTGGAGAATATAGGCGAGGGCTTGTTGCTTGCATGCATTTCTAGTAGTTGATCTAAAGCGCATTTGATCATATCAGCATGTAATTTTGCGCTATAGAAATGTTGGTCCTATTCGTAATATAGTGGTTGCAATTTAATTACACGATGTTCGAGTGGAGTGCTGTACAACACGTCGACGATCGAAACGAAGGCGGGGGAACTACTGTATGTTGCGGATGTTCATTTTAGTTTGGATTATTTCTCAAATTAGTCAGATTATATCGCAAACTTCTGTAGAAACAATTATAGAGAAACTAAACTAATACCTAGAGAATAATTTACATTTTAATCATACCATTAAAAATTATCATGCTCAGAATTGCGACAGTGAACGAATATATGTTATACGTGCAGATAGACAAAACTATATTAAGCATTTTTTGTAAAATACAAGCAATAGGCCGGTATGCACACCGAAAAAGATTTAAATCTCCGATCATGCAACCATGGAATGAATCACTAACTATGTAACATGCAGTCTTACTTCGACTTACAGTCAGTGGCGTAACCCCCTTGGTCACATCCCGGCTCAAATCCAGGGCAAGAATGACAAAATGACAAAGTTGACGTATTTTAACAACTTTTACATACTCTCTTAGCGTAGCGCCACCACCTATCCTTATACGTTAGTTTGAATAGACAGGATAAAAACGACTTCTTCAGGTGAAGTCCTGGACCCTTTAGCTCGAAGTTATATCAGTGATAACAGTTTGGAAATACATCTGTTCCATAGTCTCAACCAAATCCTCAATAGGTATATCCACAACCCAAATACAATATTTGAAAAACGTCATTGAAGAATACACTGCGAACTCCACTACCTCTTTTCTCATGCGCACGAATATCTAGCGTGACGGCGAAAACTGTTCTGGTGCAAATATATGTATTGGTGTGATAAATTAATGAAGTTATGCAATAAGCCTAATTAACATGCAAAGTCTCAAGAAAGTGTACAATTTATGAATTGTATTAAATCGTCATGTCAATCAATTACGACCAAACCAAGTCTGTGTTGTGGCTGACTAAGACGAAGAACATCTGTGAGCAGGATTGACGCACCTATAGACGCCAAAGTTATCTTCTCCGTGTCCGGAACAATAAAGACCATTGTTTGGCAGAAATTCACAACCAAGGTGTCCAGCGTAATAAGAATCACTTTGCAGAGTTAATTTATACGGGCCACCTTGAGCCAGGAATGCAGTGCAGTTTTTGCACTCTTGTCCTCGGATATTAATCCATTCCACCAAAATGCACACTTCACCTTTGACGAATGTTATTATATCCATTTGATCATTGGCTGCTTGAAGGTAATCACGAAAGACAACGCCGTCAGTATCATAGTTGCATGTCATACGAAATTTGCTGGAATCTTTTTGGATGGATTGCATTCTGGGCTTTGAAAGACGATATGCATCCCAACGAGGGGTGTTTTCATCAACAGAAAAATTCAAATTAAAAGCTTGTGGATAAATAAATCGTTCTTTCGTAGTTCATATGACTGAAGCAGTGTCCATGCCATCGTTGAATTCAAATCAAAATCACAGAAAACATCAAAGGGATTCATGTTGTCATCAAAGACCATGTATAATCCTGGAACTCGTCTACCATTGACGTAACCACGACAGGATTTAACCACATCTTGACAGAGATTTCCTGTATAACCCATTGGACAGTTGCATTTAAAGCGAGGTTTTGTGTAATCTGTGGGGAACAATGACTCGTGACTTCCGCCATTTTGACATGGGTTGACAAGACAACCAGAACTGCATGAAGTAGTTTGACCAACCTTAGAAAGAGAAGAATCAAAGACAAATGAACCTTAATGCATTTGATTTAAAAAGATAACGGTGTATATACCGTCTGTCTCGCCAAAAATTACGCTGCTTTATTTAAAATAGTGAAAAAGCTGGAATAGGTATTACAAGTGCCCACCTTAAATTTTGACGGTTACAACAATATTCTCGAGCGGTACTGAATACGTGATGTTTTATATTGAATAAGCATTTTGCAATACCAAATTACGAGTATAAAATGGCCAATGAAATACTGTATCATTTGGTTAAAAAACACACGTACTGCAAAATTGTATCAAATATTACTAGACTTTTAACTGGAAATGCTTGATCTTCAGCACAAATACATTGTCCTGTTTGGAAATTTAAACCAAGTGATCAAAGAATTTATAGTTAATCCCAAGCCAACGGCGCGGAGCGCCATTGGGGCGTAAGCCCGGTGCGAGGGTATTAATTCCACTCGGCTATTTACACCCATTTGAAATTTGAAGTTCATCAAATACCGCAAGCGTCTGGCTATGATCCAAGGGTGGACCTTCCACTGATCTCAAAAGTAGGACGGATGTCATGGAAATGGCGAACACTGATTCGTCAAATTTGAATTACGCTTTATGACGACTGCATCAGGACAGCATAATAACAGACACTATTTGAAAATGAATATTCTGCTTTTTAATAGATTTTGCAAAATCTGTTGAGTCCTTTATACGGTTTCTTTCGAGAAAATTAAAAAATTTTAATTGAACAAATAAAATACTAAAGAAGGAACCAGCCGAAAACCAGCAAGAAGACGGGGGAAAGCCGAAAGACTTACTAAAAGAAGCGAGTAAGGACACCGACCGCGACGCTTGCTGCAAGAGACTGAAAAACTTTATTCAGAAACCCGAAATATCGTTAATAATTTATTTGAACAAATAATTTATTTGTTTGTAACAATGGGGCAATAGATTGCTGGAAATTATAAACCCATGCAATGAAGGTAAGTTTGTTTTAAATATTGATGTATTGTTTGCTTTTATAATTTCATTAATTTTGCGCATAATAAGGGTAACCGACCTTGTTTTCGAGTTGAATTACTGTAAAAATAAAATATCCGCCATGTTCTGATGTCATTGTGGAGTAGTTTTTGAAAAATTCCGAACTCTTTAGTTATTGAGTTACACCAATCAGATACTCTTTGTTTTTAAACAAGTAATACTTGTCCGGAAATTCATATCCAAATTAGAAAATCTTTAATTTTTAAAAAAGTGTACCTTAATAAAAGTATCGTGTTACCATGACAACTACTTTAATGCTCCTGAAAATATAGCTAATGGTTTTGCAAGCAAGTCGAGGGGTTTCTGCTTGCATGTACTTCTAGGTTACTATTTCCACAAATAAATCTATTATATTGATCCAAAGTTTTGCATGGATATATAACAATCCACCTTTACTGCGATAAGTAATGGGACGAAAGCAAATTTGCAGATATTAGTTCGGACAAATTTTGTGGCCTGCTAGTAAAAATAAATACACGTGCGCGAACGTGGAGAAAATCATAAAAGAAAGGGCAAATCCGATAATTATTTGGTAAAGGAAGTAATCGAAGATATTGCCAATGTCATCCAGTGAATGATAATATGTCCGGTCATATTGGCAAAAAAATGCGCGTTTTATTTTATTGATAACTGCCGAACTAAGACAAATCGATAACCCTGTGCTATTGCAACTAACACAGATGAAATCATTCATTCGACATTGATAGTTAGATTAGAACACACACAGCTAAGAAAAAATCTGGGCAAGCTAAAAATGTGGACTGGTTACTGCCAGCAGGGACTGACAGCCGGCTAGGGAAGAGAGCCGACGCTTGTTGTGTACCCCTGCCATCACGGTCCCCTGACATTAAAACATTAGGAAAGATAAAAAATATAGATTTCAATTTTGAAAATCATGATTAAGATACTACAATTTATATTTTAAAAATCAATATTAACGGAAATATTACCGAAACTTTTAACAAATTAGGATACATCAATTCGAAAGTTACTGAAAAATGGTATGTCCGGAAAACATTTAACCCTCTCCCGCTCGCCAACAATTTTTTGGGAAAAAAGATTAATTAGCGACTGAAATATGTCATGTTTGATCAGTAATACCCCCACCGCAATCTTCATGCATCTTTCACTGGGCCTGGGCCCCATCAGATGTTGTTCATTCGTCGTCCTTTTCAAGACCCCAGCACGTCCCTGACTGCCAGACGTTGGGCAACTATATCAAATTTCTGCCCTTTCCTTAAACATTTTGCAATTACAAAAATAAAATCGGTACTGATTTTCTGTTATCCTGTTTTAACCCCTTATGATATTGCGATGTGCTAAAGCAGATCTCCTTGCCATTTGAATATTTGTCGATTTAACACACACAAAATAGTCTTGTGCCACATTATATACCAAAATATACGTGCTTATATATTTTCCTGCCGATATGACCAGACATAATTTTCATTCGCTGGATGACACTGACAGTATCTTAGATTACTTCCTGTACTATAAAAAGTATCGTCCTTTCTTTTACGATTTTCTGCTTTTTTAATTCGCGCACGTGTATATATTTTTACTAGCAGGTTACAAACTGTCCGAAAATATGCAAATTTGCTCACATGCATGGCAGTGTCATATTACTCATCGCAGTAAAGGTGGATTGCTCTGCACGTTTTCGGTCTCAAATTTCTTGGCTGCGGTTGTGCAGTAACTTATAAAGCTTTTTTCTTTATTTCCAAAGACCACATTTAGGTAAACAGGAAATTGTTTAAAATCCAAGTTAAATTCACTGTATTCAAATAAGTTTAAATTAATTGTTAATTCAGAGAACGAGAAACTTGATTGGTTGAAAATAAAAAATATATCATTTACGCTAATTGGAACGCACATCGTTGATATCATTGGCAGAATTTAAGTTAATTAGCATATCTAATTTAATTTAGTCACGAGTTAAAAATAATACACGGTTGGATGTTTTTTTAATACTTTGATTAAAGATATCATATAAGGTCAACCGTATGTGTGGCAGTAAATAATAGTAACATAGGTACGTTCGACCCGGATTTTTGAGGCGGCGCATTATAATTAGCATAACATGGGGAAGGGTTATTAAATATTTAGATTGAGCAAGTGGCAGAGGAGGGCCGTGGAATGGTGCGCAATGACATCATAATAAATGCATTACGTCATATATAATGATATGCAAGGCGAGTTTGAGCAGGTTTGGGCGCAACAGTCATTAAGATGAGTTCAGCATTTTCATCAAAAAACAGTTAATCCTGAATCTTATCATAATATTCTAAGCGTCCTGATAAAATTCGAGCACATTGTCGTATGTTTGAGCGTTATTTCGCTGCCAAAGGAATACGATATAGTCTCATATATATAGGGTGTCTAGACGCAAAACCTGCGTCCTGTTCGACTACAAAACGTGATTCATTTTGGTTCTGTGCACAAAATATAGCTGCAAATTCTTTTGCCGAGATAAAGATTGCTATATCTTCACGATAGCCGTAGAAGACTTTAGAAAGACTTGGCCTCAACAACCCAAGCTTGTCCATCAAAGACTGGCAACGTTACGTACAGTTAAAGGCAAGATGAAGCAAAAGTACGAGCGCCTATTCTATGTACACTATGAACGAGAACGTCCAGGGGCGAAACTTGAGGGTGGGTGTGGGGGAGGGGTGTGTGACACCCCCTCAAAGTACAAATCATCTGAATTGGCAGGGCAAATCATTTGGATTGGCAGGCCAATGAAAGATTTTAAATGATAGAATGTAGAGTTGTTAAGTAGCTTCCAGGGCTTCCAGAGGGAATTGAATAGAATTTATAGACCTAAATTTTACAGACATTGATAAAAAAATAAGGGTTTCATGCATGTCTTAACAGGAATTTGTCCGAAAAAATATGTACTTCTGCCCAAAGAAAAGTATGTAAAAATATGTACTGCTGCCCGGCTGTTGCACTGCTGCCCAAAGAAAACACTTGTGGGTTTTTCTAATGGAACAAGGAAGAACCACGTGTCTTCAATCCTGGCATTGTGCTATTCAGTAATACACTACAATACCAGTTCAAGATTGAAGGAATGGGAGAGACATTTCATAGTAGCTACTAAATCTAATACTAAAGAAGCATACGCGAAATATAGTTCTTAAATATCGTCAAGTGATAATTATTTTGTTCTATGTCCAAATTTTATTCATGACAACAAATTGGCTTTTAGACATAAATATATCCAAATATGAAGTTTAACAGTCCAATATCTTAATTTTTAAAAATATGGACATAGAATAAAATAATTATCACCTGACGACATGTTAGCGCTTTAACAAGTTGAACTTAATCAAATGGACATCTTTTAGCTGTATTTATGTGTGACAATAAATGTGTTTTAAAAATACTGTGTAATGTACTTTTTTGTTGCTGTGTGTCGTTTAGTCATGAGGCGACGCATATTATTGAGATGAATAACATGTGCGTCTCATTTACCTTTTAACCTTGGTGGGGAGACAATCAATGGATAACATAGATATAATTATTTATGACGAGTTCAAGCAAAATGAAATTGATATCGGTAAG